GTCCCGCCCTAGGCTCTTTGGGCTCGCGGGAGCACCGCCCCTCACCGGCCTCCTGTTCCCCGTGCTCATGGACAGAAGAAGACGCGTATAGAAAAAAACATGAGAAAAATATGTTGGGTGACTGACAAGTGGGGTCGGCTGAGACGTGGGACCTGCTAACAGCTGCTTTTCCAAAAAGCTACAGCCGCTAAACCAAACGGCTTTTGGCTTTGTCCACAGTTCACATCTCACAACTGCTTTTCCAACAGCTACAGGTCACAACAGCTTTCTAAAAGCTACAACTCAACCAAACAGGCCCTATGTTTGCATGAACTTTGGGGAGTACGGACATGTAGTGTGTAATGACTTGGTTTAAATTTATTATGGTTTGTATGAAATTTAATTGTGGGATGGATGATCATTGTAATATACAACATCTTACTTAATTAGTTTTACTCTTAATATGTGCGTACAATATTCAATGCAAAGAAACTGTAAAAGAAAAGAAAAAAAAAAGAGACATTCGGTCTCGGTTGGTAATACGTGGCAGCGCCTGAGGCCTAGGCTAGAGCCGCCTTTACTTCTGGTTGGTATTACCAACCGGGACTGAAAGTCCCAAATCAATCCCGGTTAAGAGGACCGACACTAAAAGCGGGCCTTTAGTTTCAGATTGACGGTCCCAGTTGAGAAACCAAGATTAGAGAGGATTTCCCAACCGGACCGAAACCCACTCCTATACTAGTGTTACTCTTCTCTACTACTAGGTTTCCTTTGAACCTTGAGTCGTACTAGCACGCAGATGCCCAAGCTAGTCTAGTACCCACATCACAGCGACAGCATTATAATCCGTGGGTTGGGTTTTTGTAACCTTGACCTGCACGTGGTTAGGCTTCAAATCTAACCCCTCTAATCCACTAGCTAGTTTCGCGAGGATCGATCGATCAAGCTCCAAGGCCGGTGACGTGGCAAGTACTAGTCCCATGCACATGGTGTCATGCGACGTCTCTCTGTCCTGTCTATGCAGGCCAGCGAGTGGATAGCAGGTGAAACCGTGGTCCCCCTGGAACCAATCTCCTGCACTGCAGATATGGGCTCCAAAACCACGTCCGCGCCCACCCGCCCGCCCGCCCGCCGCTTCTCTCCACGTCAGCCGATCGTTTGGGGTCCTTGATGCCGCCTATAAATCCTCGCCCTACTCTGCTTCTGGCAACACATCCATCGTCCTCACATCCTCTTCGCTCACTCCTCCAACTTTCAGTGCCCCTCACTGCTGACAGAGCTGCTTCTTTTCACTAGCCAATTCAAGTCTGCAACCGCAAAGATCCGAGATGTCGACGGTGAGCCGTGCATCCCTTGACCAGAAGCTTGCCCTCGCCAAGCGATGCTCGCGAGGTAACTGCACATACTGCATGCACTAACTGGCCTCAAACACTAAACTTGGCTTAAAACAAAGGGCTATGTAGTATGTACACTGACCTGACTCATGCTTTTGTATGGATGTTTGCAGAGGCGACCCTTGCCGGAGTTAAGGCGGCAGCTGTGGCAACTATCGCCTCGGCTATTCCCACCGTGAGTTTCCATACTTTCATGCCATTCCATCCTATAAATCTCAGCTTTTTTTTCTCCTTATGATGCTGGCTAGAGCACACGCGTAATCGCGAAACAGCCCTTATCTATATACATCTCTAACTTATGCTTCTGCTGCGGTTCTTCAGCTGGCGAGCGTGAGGATGCTGCCGTGGGCAAAGGCCAACATCAACCCCACCGGCCAGGCACTCATCATCTCAACGGTTGCTGGGATGGCCTACTTCATCGCCGCCGACAAGAAGATTCTCTCGCTGGCGAGGCGGCACTCGTTTGAGGAAGCTCCTGAGCATCTCAGGAACACCTCCTTCCAGGGCACCGGTCGCCCGCACCCGGCTTTCTTCAGGCCATGAGAATGGGATGAGACATATGCGTCGAGCTACCTCTTCAATTCGTCAGTAGTACAAGCATCAGATGTCGCTGATGTCTGAATAAACTGCTAGGCTGACGCTCTAGTAGCGCACTAAACATCGATGCACTAGTAAAAGTATTCTAGCGTTGTAATTACCTTGTACTATTGGTGCTCAATTCAGAAAATATAATGAATGCAAATTTAATTTCTGTTACCAATTAACCAACTTTATGTGCTATTTTATTGTAAAAAATCATCTCCATACCGACAGTTAGTGGCCAAATATGTTGCCTTTGCAGGAAAAATAGAGATTATATACTAAATACTATTACTAATTAGAGAGACTTTGATAAAACCTTACAGATTGATCATAAGAAAGCTCTACAAAATTTTCATATAGAAATCAGAAACGTCCACCATCAATCCGGTAACCCCTGACAATAATAGCTATAGGATAATCCTTATATGTCATTATAAAAAAAAAGCTCGATTCGCGGTGGCTAGATAACCCTAGGTTTTCTAGCTTAAAAAGAAGATCTTATCACGTAGATCGAGAAAACCCCAGAACCTCTGTCCCACTCATACACAGAGGCCCTTATCTGTCACTATAAAAAACACAACATAAGATAATCCCTAAATTTAAATTTACATTACCACCACCCCTGTAATTTTGAAAGATAGTATGACATCTAAAATAATCCTACTATAAATATCTAATTATCTATTATTACCATTACAATAGAATATAACCTATATAAGCCATCTTTACCGTAAGGGGGGTCCGATCTGGTCACCGGAAGGAAACCTATACACAGAAAATTGGCATGTGTCTGCAAGGGATAAGCTATCCCTCAGTGGGCAGTCACCAGCGCGCGGCAGCCCAGTCACACTCAGATATACCGCCGCTGCCGAGCTGAAAACTGGGAGCGCCACACCCAGTGAGTCCGAAAACTGAGGGCACAGCCACCAACCACCGTCATTTAGAAAACGCTTGTTTCTTTTGATTGCCTTTTCCATGAACTGGTGAACAACGATGACTATAGGACTCGAAACCATTTCATTAAAAAAAAGGACTTGAAACCAGTCACTGATCTGTTTGTTTGTTACAGAGTTCAAAGTTGCCCCTTCGGCAAGAAGCTACAGGCTAAATAGCAAAAGAGACGTGCGCCCTTTGGTCTGTTGTTGGAAATCCGTCAGGCGATGCCGGAGTAGAGCCTGACGGCGCAACTGTTGTCGGAGAAGCAGGCCTGACAATTTGCTATGGCTCACTCCTAGGTGCTACAATGTTGAATCGTATAGGAAATGAAATCCTCCATTTTTCATATAAAATTCCTGTAAACCAAATGAGACCTAAGTTTCGGAAATCTGGTGGATGTTCTCTACGCACTTTAGCACACCTCGCTCATGGCTCATGGTCCTAATACACTTAGCTGAGAAAATGGTAGTAATTAAATTTCCACGAAGACGGCAGATTACTGAAGAACTTAATTACATATTGATGCCGGACCAACTTGGTGACAACTATCCTTGAAATCTCAGCTAAAGGCACCGCACCTTTTCAATAATGGAGCGAATTCTATTAGCTGGTGTCCCTTTCTTTTTCGCCGGGATTTTGACTGAACAAGGACAGTGCTTTAGCCTCAGTGCACCCTTTTCATGGAAATAATGGTCATAGGACAACACAAAAGCATAGGACTTCTTTCTTACGAATTAAGCATTGATCAAGCATACTAATAAAAAATGGTGCACAGTTCCGCTTAAGCTAGCATGGGCGTACATGATCTTTTTTAGCAAGCAGACTTAGCCTGGTTTTGCATAGCTTGTGCGGGACAGTGGACTCTTTGGTTTTCTTTTGAATTTGATTTAAAGATTGCTGCACTATAATTTGCCGGAAGTATATAGAACATGAAAGTTCGCCGTGACCACGACGGTGGTAAATAATTTTCTTTGGTTATGATATATGTTAGGAAAAAAATGAAGCCAACTCCGATCCAATGCAAACAATTTCCGAACCGTCATTTACTCTTTTTGCATCGCTGATGGCTTAATATTGCCTTGTTTCTCACTTAACTATTAGGACTTCCGCTATGTACCTTCTTGCACTCTATTGTACTCGCATAAGCATTTAATTTAATATTTTATGCCATAGCACAATTGAAACATACACATAGGCGAAAGATGACATATTATCGTGTTAACACAATGATTATCACTACTATAGAAACAATTTCAGGAGACAGGGTTTTTATTTTAAGATGTGGCACTTTTATCCAACTGCCTCTATAAATGATTCTAGGAGACAAGAGATCTAGGGAGACGTTCAAAGCATATCCCACTTGTGAAAAATGGATTTTTAGAAGTGGATTTCTTAACTTGACCGCCTCTATAAATGTGCATTTAAAAAATGGCTATAATAAAAGGCTTGTCTATGGAAATCCGAAGGGCATCTCGAACGAATTGGATGTCGAGCTCAATGTGCTTGGTTTCTCAACGATGTACGTTACTCCTGGACTTGAAAACCGATGAGATGATGTCGCGGACCGCCACGGTGCCCTTAGGAATGTTGTAGTGTAGTTCACCTAGCAGTTGTCGGAGAGATGAGTGTGCATGCATACATGAGCATGTCTTAACGTGATTGAGCGAAAGAAAACGGACCGACAACTTTCATCCTCCGGTGGGCTAAATTGCCATGCATGAGGCCGAATCCAATCACAAGGCATATGTTGCGCGAATATACTATAATATCACGTAAATTGACACGCACTGGACTTTTGATTTGTTTATGGGAGTATGCTATATATAATAACAAAGTAATAGCACACATGAAAATAGGAAAGGCGTCTTGTTACAATAATCACAGAAATGCCAGGCCCCCAAGCATTTCGTCGCCGCCTACCGCCACTAGTCCCCAATGAGACCGTCGTGGCCGTGTAGGGAGAGGGAGAGAGCACATGTATAAGTAGAGGACCGGGGCGACGACACCTACGACTCATTAGCAGCGCACGCCGCCATTGCCAAGTTGAAGCTGAGCTCCTCACGTACTCGATCTTCTCATTTGCCCCTCACTTAGCTTAGTTGACTCGCAATGTCGGGGCAAGCACACCAAGCTCCATTCGCCCTACTCCACGTCATCCTCGTCATCGTCTCCTTCCGAGCTGGAGGTACCGTATATATAACTAAGCTGCCAATCCATATAGTACAACATATGCACGTCGTCAAAGAGGACCTAGTGACCTACTTGTGCTCATTTCTTTCTTTTTTCTTTCCCTTGCACTGTGTCTGTCTGGTTCGATCGATCATCAGGTGTTTGCGCGAGAACATTGACCATCACGAACCACTGCGGGCACACGGTGTGGCCGGGCATCCTGTCCGGCGCGGGCTCGCCGGCGCTCGAAACCACGGGCTTCGCCCTAGAACCGGGCCAGTCAAGGTCGCTGCCGGCGCCGCACGGGTGGTCGGGCCGTCTCTGGGGCCGCACGCACTGCTCCGTCGACGCCGAAGGGAGGTTCGCCTGCGTCACGGGCAACTGCGGCTCCGGCCGGCTGGACTGCGCTGGCCACGGCGCCAAACCGCCCGCCACGCTGGCCGAGTTCACCTTCGACGGCCACGAAGGCCTCGACTTCTACGACGTCAGCCTCGTGGACGGGTACAACCTGCCGATGCTGGTGGAGCCGCACGCACCGCACGGCGGCGGTGGGGGCGCCAACTGCCTGCTGACGGGGTGCGTGATGGACCTCAACGCCGCGTGCCCCGCCGAGCTGGGGGTCCGGGACGCCGCCGCCGGTGGCGCCGCCGTGGCGTGCAAGAGCGCATGCGAGGCGTTCGGGACCGCGGAGCACTGCTGCCACGGGGAGCACGGGAACCCCGACGCGTGCTGGCCGACGGCATACTCGCAGTTCTTCAAGAAGTCGTGCCCGCGGGCCTACAGCTACGCGTACGACGACGCCACCTCCACCTTCACCTGCGCCGGCGGCGGCACGTCGTACGCCATCACGTTCTGCCCGAGCACGACAAGGTGATCGATGCTGCAAATTCCTCCTTCTAGTGTTAAAATTTTATCCATCTGCAGCGTAAGAATGTCTCGCTAATCGTCTGGTTTTTGCTTCGTTGTTAACTGCAGTGTGAAATCGGTAGGAACAGATCCGCAAGTACGAGCGGCCGTCGGTGGCGGGCGAGTGGCGTCGTCGTCGTGGCGCACCATGCCGTCCATTATTGAATCCAGCCTTGCCTTCCTCGGCGTCGCCATGGCGGCGCTTTCGTATGTCTTTTAATTTATAAGAAGTATCAACCGAGGAGCGAGTGGTTGCACACATGGGAAAGGGAAGAAATAAAGAGCCCTAGGGGCAGGCTGATTCATGCCATTTTTCTTAATTTATTTGTTAATCTGGAGCATACAGAGATTAAAAAAATCGCGACCAAGTAGTCATCAAACCAAATGGAATGAATTCATTGATCTCTACGGCATCATAATCTCTCACTGTCCATACAATATATAGAAGTTACTGAATCAACCTTTTTCATTTTTCTATATCCAGTATTATTAAAAGAAGACACGCATCACCTGTACAAGTCAGTCCTATGTATGATGAGGTGATCGAATCACTTACAGCGTGTTTGGTTAACGGATTGAGCCCATTCGGTATGAGTTGCTCCCGCATGCAAGTAGAATGGGTTTGTCCGTCTCTTTTCTTGGAATGGACCTATATACATCCAGCTTAAAATTTGGCTTAAGTCCCGGTATATTTCGCGTCCGGAACTAAAGAGACCTTTAGTCCCGGTTTGTAGGTCCAACCGAGACTAAAGGTCCCTGCCCAAAGGCTACTGCGGCAGACTTTTGCTGTAGGGGACCTTTAGTCCCGGTTGGAGCTACCAACCGGGAATAAAGGTTAACTTTTACTCCCGGTTGGTTCCTCCAACCGGGAGTAAAAGTTTACTCCCGGCTGGAGGCTCCGTCCGAGACTAGAAAGGGACCTTTAGTCCCGGTTGCTGTCTCCAACCGAGACTAAAGCTTGAAACTGTAACAGGTAGAGGGAGGAAACTTTAGAGATACCTACATACAAATATACATCATCTGTGGATTTGAATGATTAGAAAGGCATCTTTAGTCCCCAACTAGGACTAAAGCTTGAAACAGTCTTTTGAGCTGACACTGACAGGGTGCACGTTAGCATGGTAGCCTAGCCTAGCTATTGTGGCTGTTGTTTGTGTTTGTGACCACAAGTCTGTTCGTTCGGCTGCTATAGCCTCAGACCGTCGTCAGACACATTCACGGCTGCTCTATCTGCAGACACATGCAACATGCATGGGTCCGATGCAACTGAACACGACCAAATCAATTAGTCCCGGCTGGTATTACGAGCCGGGACTAAAGGTATACCTTTAGTCCCGGCTGGTATTATCAGCCGGGACTTAAGGTTTTTTAGCCCTGGATGTTTACAGGAGCCTCGATGGGCCGGCTCGACCTGAAGCCCACACATAGGAGAGAGCATATACCATAATGGAGCGGCCCAGTACGCAATATGCTGGAATTGCTGGCCAGTCCCACCTATTAGCACCACCTCTCTTGCTCAGAAGAGTGAAAGCTAACTTAAAAGCTCAGCTCTGGAGCCATGCACCACGATCTTACTTGAACAGGATCTGTTCTATAAGATCGTACCGCTGCATCCTTGACTAAAAGTCCTTCGTATATTATAAACGTGTAGAATACGTATATTCTAGCAACGTAGAATGAGTATTCGAAAGCCAAAACGAATCATCAATTGAAAATAGAAACAAAAAAAAGAAAAAAAAAATTGAAAGTCCCGGTAGCAGCGTAGAGCGTAGAATGCGAACGAAAATTGAAAGTCCCGCTAGCAGCGTAGAATGCGAACGAATCATCAATTGAAAATAAAAAAAAAGAAAAAGAAAATAGAAACAAAAGAAAAGAAAAAAAAGAAAACATTTAAGGGCCGGCCCACGTGGCCAGGCCAGGAGGCCTCTTTAGCCCCGGTTGGTATTATCAACCGGGACTAAAGGTGGATCTTTAGTCCCGGGCGAGAAACCGGGATTAAAGGAGGGACCCTTTAGTCCCAGATTCGTGCTTCCGGTTGGGAAACCGAAACTGAAGGGGTTGAAAACCGGAAGTACAGCTCGTTTCTCTATATATATATATATATATATATATATATATATATATATATATATATATATATATATATATATATATATATATATATATATATATATATATATATATATATATATATTGGATACATCGAACTCGCGCTGCGAACCAAACAACGCCGCAGCTTGGTTCGGTCTCTCATCAGGCAACTCATGTGTGTAAGCTTCCTGTATAATGAAACACATGCAGTAAGCTTCCATCTCTTCGAGAACATATTGAACCAGCACATTCTAAAATTAGACCCAAAAACTCCATCAAAAGTACACGTCATGAGGCAAAACAAGTATGCACAACCAACACTGTATCAACTAAATCAACTGAAGGTTTAAACCCTCACTCACCTCATCAGGCAACGAAGACAAAGAAAATAATTAAAAGAACATGAACATACACCAAAAAGAGTCTCATCGGCAACTATTGTTTATAGTTAGGTTACAACGAAGGGCCACACATGAACCCTCCCCGATAACAAGAGACAAAAGCCTTACCTACTTCCCTACACCCTCCCTAACCAAGCCCCGCAAACGCAAAAACATATGTAGCCTCGCTCCAAACATATTTTTTGGTAATATTTTTTGTCCATAAATTATCTATTTCTAGAAACTTCTATAGTAACTTTTCTTTCAAAAAACATAGGGACAAACCCTTCACTCACCCCATCACGGAACGAAGACAATGAAAATAATAAAAATAACAATAGATAGACAAAAAAGTGCATGGTGGACTGACTATTGCGTACGGTTATGTTACGACAAAAGACACAAATGCACACACTCTGACAACAAGCGACAAGCACCTTCCCTACTTCCCTACACCGTGTGATGAGTAACCCCCTGACAAGGATTATAAGCTGGTCCTCACCCTTTTAAAATTTCAAGGTGGCACTAAACCAACCAACCAACTACAACCACACAACGGCCAACTATTACATGCTACTGATGGGCTATGATGTTACACCTTTTCATGCGTCTCTAACCTTGTTATGTGAAGATTACATATTTTGAATCATAAATCTATCGCGTTACTTTGTATGTCACAAAGATTTATGACATTTTTAGTCACAGATTCTTTGACCATGCCACGTAGGAGAAAAAACATAATAAATGTTGATGTGGCGCTAACTTGGTGGTTCATAAAAATGTCATAAACATAATCGTGGCATGTTAAACTCTGTGTTGCATGTAGGCTTATAATGGGTCAAGCCCATTGTTAGAGCTAGTTTTTTCAGTCTAGCCCACATTTTAATATTTATGGTTCTTTGGTCCATTTCCCATTTATTTTTACACATCTCACATCAATAGGCCATATAGATTAGAGATTAGTCCAACCCATATAGATCATAGATAGGTTAGCACAACCCATTTAACATCACATAGAGGCCAAGATCAATATATTTAATCAATAGTTCAAATACATAATTAACATATCTCGTCACATTTTAGTAATGACCAAAAGCAAAGAAACAACAAATATATTATCATATTCTATTAACACCATTTTCCTATATAATGAAACACCTGCAACAGCATGAACCAGCACATCTTGAGATTAGACCAAAAAAACCATCAAAGTACACAAGTCATGAGTTAAAACAAGTTCGCACAACCAACACTTAATCAACTCAAGGTTAAACCCCTCATTCACCTCATTAGGCAACCAACACAAAGAAAATAGTTAAAAGAACATGAAACAGACACCAAAAACAAGTTTCATCGACAACTATTGCTTACAGTTATGTTACGACAAAGGGTCACATATGAACCCTCTCCGACAACAAGCGACAAAAACCTTCCCTACTTCCCTATACCCCTAACCTACCCCAGCAAGTGCGGAAACGTATATAGTCTCGCTCCAAACATTATTTTTTGGTAGCGTTTCTTCTCCACCATAACATAATCTATTTCTAGAAATTATTATAGTAATTTTCTTTAAATAAGCACAGGGACAAACCCTCCACTCAACCCATCACATAACGAAGACAGAGAAAATTAAATAACCAAAAAGAACATGGCATAGATAAAAAAAAAAGTGCCTCGTGGACTGACCAAAGTACACATATGCACCCGCTCTAACAACAAACGACAAGCACCTTGCCTACTTCCCTACACCCTGTGACAAGGATTATAAGCCCGTCCTCACATCATTTATACAGAATTGTTATCATCAGAAAACGAGTGACTGTTTTTTACTATTAAGAAACAGAAGAAAAATTATGTCTTTTTTACCTTTCCATTCGAGTCTGCTCACGTTTAATTTGTTTATACAGTTCAAAGTTTGTAGTTACAGCGCTGATAATTTGTGTATTTGCATACTTTTATACCTTTTATTTACACCAGTGGCCAGTCCTGTGTGTGTAGACCGGCACGCTTCACACTAGCATGCAGAGCGCATGCAGTGACAACACGTCTCGTTTGGCTGTTGTTGTCATGTCTCCCCCGTTGCATGCACCGCGTCATCACATCTTACAGATCATGCTTCATGGTCGCTTATCTTTCTGATACTTGTAGCACACAGATGCCGCCGCTCGAATCCACAGGCTTTACCGGACCTGTGCCGCCTCCTATAAATGGACAGCCCCCTCCAGCGTCTCCTGCATCCCAATCTTCCTCGGCACTTCTATACTCATCAGTCGCCAGTCATCAGTCATCACAACTGAGAGCGACTAGCTAGCTCTGCGCTCAGGATCACCATGCCGAACACCGTGACCTCCGCGTCCGTCGACCAGAACCTTGCCCTCGCCAAGCAATGCTCGCGAGGTATAGATTCAAGCATATACGCGCATCTACACTGTGGACACAAAGACTGAATACTTTGGTGATGCTTTTGCTTATTACACGATGATCGGTTTCTTTGTGCACTGATGCTTGGGTACATGTCTATGCATGCAGAGGCCGCCCTCGCAGGGTTCAAGGCAGCAGCTATCGGGACCGTCGCCTCTGCAATTCCCACCGTAGTGTTCATCTATGATCGATCTATCTCAGCATGTAAATCTAATCGCCATATAGCATAATAAACCTGTACTATGTGATTTTGATATCCTCTCTGTTGTTCAGCTGGCGAGCGTCAGGATGCTGCCATGGGCTAAGGCCAACATCAACCCCGCTGGCCAGGCCCTCATCATCTCCACAGGTACATATATCTCACTCCTCCACGGCCTAGATGCCTTCACATGTCAGTGAAATAAACATGTTCTGTATATGCCTGTTTTGCTCCAGGAAAACTGGATCCTGCAGTTGCTGGCATGGCCTACTTCATCGCGGCGGATAAGAAGATCCTCGCGCTGGCGAGGCAGCACTCCTACGAGAACGCACCTGAGCACCTCAAGGACACCTTCCAGGGCACCGCCCGTCCCCACCCAGGGTTCTTCAGGCCGTGAGCGAGCAAGCTACCACTGGAAGCACTAGTTCTCAGCCGTCGATGCAGCATGTCCAACAATAACCCTACTACTACTACTAGCCTATATACTACTACTGGCTAGTAGACATCGGCGATCGACGTGCTCCGAGAAACTGTAATAGCTTACTAGTGCTTCAGTTTATTTACTGTATCTACCTTCCATCATATATTAATATATACCCTCCTATTTAATAAGTATACAACTTTGTGCGCTACATGACCGTGAAAAACGAGATGGCAAAAGGCTTTTCCTCTTCAGATCAATGGCCGACATAGTACAATTAATTGTAGTGTGCCATCCATGTCCAATTTAAGAATAACTACAGCTTTTTGTACAACGATGGTTTTTAGTTACACTCGATCATACACTGATATACATTTTCACACCACTAATTATTAGATACAAGTGGCCGGCTTTCTCTAACTATGCACACAAGCTCAAGCCAAACGGCAAAACACAGTTACATGTTCTGGATCAACTCGATCGACCTAACAAAACCTAGCTTGTTTCATCAACTGTTCTACTTCTACAAAATCTCACTCCATCCGATCAAGTTTGCACAACCAACAGTTCATCAAAATTATCAACTCAGGGTCAAACCCCTCACTACTTAATTCAAGAGAAGAGCCATCGACACCAAGATATCATCAGAAAAGATCCCTCTCTTTTTCTCAAAGGGGACGCTTGGATCCCTTCAATTTGGAGAAATTAAAATCTACTTAATGGGTTAGATTATTTGTCTTGGAATTTGAGATTCCACAACTTTCTAAAGTTCACGTATATGCCTATCTGAAATTCATAAGGTGAGAGATGATAATTGATTCTATAGATTTTTTGGTTTGCGCGTCTCTGTATTAAGATAGAGAAAAAGTTTCATACAACACACCTTAACGGTGCCCTAGGAGATCAAAACAGATATACATGGATGCTCAGACTCTCCCTAGTGTACTGAAAGCTACATTATTGCATTGGACACTGATCAACCCGAATTGCAGCGCCGGCTAGGAGGCCTATGCCTGGGCTGCCGAGCGGCGGTGGCGTTGCTTGCGCGGACCCACGTCGCCGTCCGGTGGGAACAACTCACGTAGCGCCTGCATATTACCGGGGTCACCGCTGTAGATTTCTCCATACATTTTCAGGGCCGACGTCGACGGAGACATCCCGCTTGTTAGTCCAAGGCGCTTCAAGACAAGGTGCTCACCTCATTTGGACGCCGGGATATGTGATCTACTCTGCGCCGCTATCCGCTTGCTCCTCTTGGGGAGCGCGGGTGGTGTACGTACTTGTTAGAGCCATGACCGTTGCTCCCGGGTGGCTACCCCGACCAGCGCTGGGTCGGGGCGCGCCTCGGCATCCAAGACGCTGGCCTATCCCCCTCATGGCGGCGTGACCGGTGGTGGCCCCTACACAAGCGACAACGGAGGTGAGTCCGTCATCTAAAGGGCAGTCTTCGATGGAGAACTGGTGTCCACCAGCAATGCGTCTGTTTCCTGGGTGGCTGCCGCCGAAGTAGGCGAGCATCCAGGCAGTGGTGCTCCTGCTGGGGGCACACGACGAGCGAGAAAACAACTCCTTCAGCATTGGGTCGACCCACGCGGGAGGCCCCATGCATGCGCACAGGTCCAACGCCAGTGGATCTAGCTTAGAGATGTAGCGTGAAGCAGTTGTAGTGTTGTCGTCGTAGTCAATCGGCGCACCCAAGCCGATGTCCCTCGCCAGCTTACTCGGGCGTCGCCACCTTCGGCTTCGGGTTTCGCTAGCGCCCCCCGTGGCACCCTGCACGGCCACATCCGAGCTCGGTGAACCATCGTGGGGCACGTCCTTGGAGGCCGGTGGGTTGCCGCCACGAGCGGCGTGTCGAGGCCGACCGCCACCCTTCGCCGCCAACGTCGCAGCATGCCTTGGCTGCTTGCAATCCTTGGCGACGTGGTGGAAGTCGTGGCAGCGCAGGCAATGCTGTCTCAACCGGTAAGTCGTTACTCGGTGCGAGTAGGAGAGGTAGTTGAAACATTTGTCGCGAAGCTCTGCAGGGATCCTCTTAGCCTGCGGAAGTTTTGGGCCACGACGAGGCACCCCTCCGTGTTGGGGATGGAGGCCCTTCCGCGGCACCCGAGGCGTTGACAAGCAAGGACGTGTCCATCCACTGGCCGAGCAGGCATGCCATACATCAGATGGGGATGCGGCCGGCAGTGTTTCCTCTGCCTTCGCCCAGCACCCTATCGTCCAGCGTCCACTCTGCCACGGCTCAGAACCTGAACTGAGTGAGTCTGGGCACGCGGTGGGGACGTAGGGACTGGCTTCGCTAGGCATCGCATGACATCCAGATAGGTTGTGGGGTGGTCGTCATCAGACTCCTCGCCGTTGTCGTCCGCCCACCGACGGCGCTTTGTGCGCCCTCCCAAAGAGTAGCCCAAGAAGGACGGAGCCGCGGTCGGTGACAGGGAGGACGAGCCGGGGGTGGCCGACGGCGCCTCATCGGCCTTGCTTGGTCGATGGTCGCCCATGGACCCAGAAGGCTCGAACTTGGTCCCAGACAGCGTAGATCTGAGAAGGTCGTCGATGGCGGCGGGGGCAGTGCTCCCTGTACTGGCCTGCGGCCTCGACGGCTGGCGTGCCGTCCAGTACGCCACGGCGGCGGCGATAGCCGGCCCCAATGGTGTAGGGGGCGGTGGAGCGCCAGATGCAGTGGCGGGGGGCGCTCAGGAGGCCGCGGCGGTGGCGGCAGGCGGCCCCGGTGCCGGGGGCGCTAGATGTCGCGTCAGCGCCTGCGCTCTGCTGGGGCGCTTGCGACTGGTAGTGGCCGGAGGCGTCAGGAGCGGAGGGGGCCGCCGACTGCTTCGGAGTGGTGGCGGCGCATCCTCCAGGCGCGGTGGGGGCTGGGCTTGTGGCGGCTGGGGAGGAAGCAGGGAGGCTGAGGGAGGGGGAGGAGGGGGAGGGGGCCGCCGGAGTCGGGATGGCGGCCCGCGGTGGTGGCGGCGCGGGCTTGAGGGCGACCGCCAGGGGCGCCTCCTAACCATAGGTCCCGTCGAAGGCTCTCAACAAAATTGATTATATAGATCACCATAGTAAGTTTCTACTATACAACTTATAACATGCTCTTTAACTCTCTTCCTTAAAGTAGAAATGAAACATATAAGAATCTCTTTCGCATGGCTAACAATAGTATACAAATCTATTCCATATACAAACATATTAGCTTAATTAATATGTGCCTAAATTATAATTTATTAGAATAAATTCAATTACAGGGATCAAACGGATTCTAAAAGGAAACACGATAAATTTAAATGCCACTCCTACCTGTATCCATGAACTCCCCGGTCTGAGCACCTACCGCTCGCATTTGTCTACAGTTGGAAGCATGCAGCTACAGCGCTGGCTGACCTGATAATACGGGGTCTTTTGCATTTGCTCCTACCTTAAACCAGTGATTTATGTGGTTATATATGTTGCAGAGCAGTGAGGCAGTGACAGTAGCTTGACTTGCTACTTAGCCGTTGACATGTGTCCGATGGAACTTAGCCCTTGTTTAGTTTCAGGAAGCTGGAATTTAGGGCTACCGTAGCACCTTCGTTTTTATTTAGCAATTAGTGTTCAAACATAAACTAATTAGGCTCAAAACGTTCGTCTCGCAATTTCCCACCAAACTGTGCAATTAATTTTTTTTCATCTATATTTAATGCTCCATACACGGACCATAAACCTTCGATGTGACAGGTACTGTAGCACTTTTTTTAAAATTTGAGGTCCAACTAAACAAGGGCTTACAGTGGTGCAGGGCAGTTTATTTCTGACACTAGTTTGGTAGCATAGCACAGACGCCGAGCCTAGCTAGCTAGCACCCTGCAAGATCTGCCTCCTGTATTTTGTTACGCAAACTAAACCACGTGCCGACACCGACACGGTTCGCCGGTTCGGTTTGGGGATTGGGCAACCGAGGAAGCAAAATCAGTTTCGAGAGAATCTGCAAACAGGCTACCTAGCCATTGTAGAGTGTGGTACAGCAAAAGGCGGGTTGTCTTGTCCCGTAAGCACAGCCCCGGCCATTGCTTGCAGAGTTTCAGACGCCTGTTGTCTGTTGGCCTACGGGATCACAATCGACCACTCACCAACATGTCAACCACACACTCTAACTAGAGGTAAAAAAATAAGAGAGAATAGAGCACACACATAGCACAAGCATCAGCGTTGACCGAAGCTCTGCAGAGGAGATAGCAAAACTGAACTCGTCATCTTTACTGAGTTGCAGTGGCAAACTATATATATACAACTCAACTCATCTAGTCCTAGTACAGCTGTCATGCTGCTACGGTGACTAGATAAGACAGCAAGGCTAACTTTGGCGTCTGCCCCTGCTATGGCTACAGTGCGGCAGGTGAGCCGTTCGGCGCCTGCCCCTACAGCGGCTACAGTACCACAGCAGGGAGCCTTTTCGGCGCCACCTTCCCCTGCCGTGTGTTCACACGGGGATGCAACAGATTATCTAACAATTCTTTCCCTAATCCTACTGCTAACCCTTGAACCTCCTCCATGCCGATCATCTTTTTCAGCTCCGTGAGTCAAAGACGGCCGAGCGGCTTGGTGAGGACGTCCGCGAGTTGCCGACTAGTTTCGACAAAATCGATGACGATCTGCCCTCATCGACACAGTCCCTGAGGAAGTGGAACTTGACGTCGATGTGCTTGCTCCGGTCGTGGAAAATCGGATTCTTCGCAAGGGCGATGGAGGGCTGGTTGTCCACCATCAGTGCTGGTGGGCGAGCTTCCACACCGGTCAACTCGCCCAGCAACCGGCGCAGCCATATAACTTGGCACGCCGCTGTGACCGTCGCCACGTACTCTGCCTCACACGTAGACAGCGCCATCACCTTCTGTTTCAGCAACATCCATGAGATTGGAGCCGACCCGAGGAAGACGAGCACGCCAGAGGTGCTCCGCCGTCCGTCGATGTCGCCCGCCATGTCTGCATCGCTGAACACA